AGTCAGCACAAAACTGCTCGTCGTTCATCGAAAGGGACGATGACGTGGGCAGTCGCATGATATTCCACCTGGTCTCGCACTCAATTATCGACCAATATATTAGTTAATGGCTTGTATACATCTAGTCAGGTCATCGGGAAGAAGCGTTGCCGATAGGTTTCTCGACATGTCGTGATTCCGCCAACAGTCTCGGTATGTGTGCTTTGTGCAAAGGAGCATTTAATGGCCGAAAAAACTGGGCCCACGCTTTTGGCCAATCATAAATTAGAGAAAGGACCGGATCCTACCTTGCAATCATTTGTTTTTTGTATGGGGTGTCGAGGAAATTAATCGCGAAACCTCCGACCTACATATTTTTGGGTGAGCGGCGAGCATGGCAGCCAAGGACGACGACTACGACTACCTCTTCAAGGTCGTCCTCATCGGCGACTCGGGCGTCGGCAAGTCCAACCTCCTCTCGCGCTTCACGCGCAACGAGTTCTCGCTCGAGTCCAAGTCGACGATCGGCGTCGAGTTTGCGACCAAGTCGATCCAAGCCGAAGGCAAGACCATCAAGGCGCAGATCTGGGATACCGCCGGGCAGGAGCGGTACCGCGCCATCACGAGTGCCTACTACCGCGGCGCAGTCGGCGCCCTCCTCGTATACGACATCACCAAGCACCCGACCTTTGAAAACGTCGAGCGGTGGCTCAAGGAACTGCGCGACCACGCCGACGCCAACACGGTTTGCGCGCCGCGACCAAGCTGGCTGCGAATGCTGATGCGTGCTAGGTGATTATGCTTGTCGGCAACAAGAGCGACTTGCGGCACTTGCGCGCGGTGCAGACGGACGAGGCCATGGCGTTTGCCGAGAAGCACAACCTGGCGTTCCTCGAGACGTCGGCGCTCGACGCGACCGGCGTCGACACGGCCTTCCAGCGCATCCTCACGGAAATCTACTCGCTCATGAGCCGCAAGACGATGCAGGCCCAAGAGAACGCGGCGAGCCTTCCCGCCGGCAACAAGATTGAAATCACGGCTGAAAACTCGGGCGCGGCCAAGGCCAAGAAGAAGGGCGCGTGCTGCTAAGCGCTGTGCATACCCAACGTAGCATGATCCGATTTACATATTGCACCTCATTTGTCGAGCGTTGTGGTTGTTGCATCGCTGCAGCCGGCGCGCCGACTGTGGCATCCTCCATGCACCCAACCACGTGCTGCATATTGGGAGCAGAAACACGTATCCAACTTGGAAATACTCAGATTGGTGTTTAATGAAATGGTGAAAGGCTAGACGTCAATGGCCCGGAACGTTGGTTTATGGCCCCGCGCCGAGTCGGGGACGCCGGCGCCCGTGTAGCGCACGGCGCTCTCGCTGTACTTGACGTCGTCGTGGTCGGTGGTCGCGCTCACGTGGCTTGCGTCGTCCTCGGCGCTCGAGCGTGGCGGCCAGAGCACGAATTTGATGTACACAAACCGCTCTTCCGGGTCAATGCCATGAAGCCAGAGCCCGACGGCAGCGAGCGAGAGCAGCCCGACGAGGTACACGGCCGCAATCTCGAGCCGCAAGAGCCCACAGCTCGCCAAGCCCGCGCTCGCATACAGAGAGCAGTCGCTGTTGTACGCGGCGAGCGACGCACCGAGGCCGAGGCCAAACGCAATGAGAAAGAACGCAGCGTCCGTGAGGAGCTCGCGGCGCTTGGTCGGCGTCACGGTCAGCGCCTCGAGCATCGTGCTGTGGTTCAAATCGGTCCGCGTCGTGTCGTAGACGCTGCTGCGCAGCTGGCGGACGCGCCGCGCCGCTTGGACCTCGCGAACCGCGCGCCAGAGACCGTAGATGAGTGCGACGCAGAGCACGAGGAGGCACGCGTCCCACGTGGGACCGCCGAGCTGGATGGCGACGCCATGTCCGGCTTGACCTAGATGGATCTTGAGGAGGCGCGGTCATCCGGGATGACGTACCGCGTGGGAAGCTGGTCGCATGCGCAATGAGGCCGATGGCGGCGAAGAGCGTCTGCGTCAGTCGCAGGCCGGCGGCGGCAAAGTCGCGGGCAAAGTCGGCCATGCGGCAAAGATGTTAAATGCGTCAAACGCGTCACGTGGCGCGCGTCAAACCGTCGGCCCGTGACGTCTGTTTTTTTTGCCACGCGTTGCGTTGACTGTGTATTTGTATGGTGTGTGGCATGAAAGAATAAAAAGATGGAAGCGGCGAAACGGCCTGGATGCGCCGAACGTTCCGGCGGTTTCAAGATTTAACGCATGCGTTAAACGCGACACGGGATCGATTCGACGGTGGCGAGAGTCGAGCTGATTCATTAACGGCCAAACTGAATGGTAAAAGTTGTTTTTGCGTGGCAACTAGAGGGCGGTGTCGAGAGATTTGGATGCGTAGCTTTCGTGCTTTTGGCGACCTTGGAGTTCCGCAAAAGCTGTTGGGCGTACCGGTACCCAAGTTCTTTGGATTGTGAGTGGCCGTGGCGATGACGCCGTGTCATCGATCCCAATGTACAACCATGATGCACAACTTACGTTATACTTTTGTGTGTGCGCGCTTTATTTGCATTAACGTTAACACTACTTTTTCAGTATTGCGAGCAACTAGACAAGCATCCAGAGCTGCACCCAGCCGACCGCTCACCCAGCAAGCTCTTATTGCACGTAAAATTCGACGGACGCATTTCAACGACAACGACTCTCTGACAAGTCGAAACCACTTGACTTGACGTCCAGGAAATCGTTCAGTGGCGAAAAGCTCTGAGTACGAAGGAAGACGCACCGGTGGACAGACCCACCGGTGTGTCTTGTGGCGGTCATGACTGGCGGATCAGCCGCAAACTATGTGTGATCGGTTGCGATAACTTTTCTACAACGACTAGCGAAGCAGATCTCTGCTGGTACTGCAATCCAATTCCAGTGTAAATGAATTAGTGGGTGCACAGCAGCAAAACCTCGACCTTTGCCCTCACCAGTATTGTTGCGCAGCACTCTAGTGTAACCTCGATTGCTACTTGTATGATAAACAAATACGCTTGGCGGTACTTGGGTTCCAGCATCAGCGCATTGACCAGCGAGAGTGCAGAGCTTGGTTGCACAAGCTCTGCGTGCCCACATTGTACACGTGTGGCCCAACGGAAAACTCACTAAAACAACTTGGTGTTTGTATACCATGGATGGATCTTTCGCACGTGACAAATGCAGCTTTGGCATTTCACACACAATTTACACCTAGCCATCGCCTTGCCACAGCGTGAGCAATGAAAGGCTACTCCTTTCACAAAGAACCGGAATGCTCCTGAATCAGAAACTCTGCGCAATGTGGACGCATGACGTAGGTATCGAAGGAATTGCCCGACAAGTTCAACAAGATCTGCCGGACCATGCGTTGCAAACGATAGACGAGGACAACAGTGTCGCTACGTCAACGAGCGTCTGTCGACGGCTGAAAATACTTTGGGCTGCTTCCTGCGAGGTCCAAAGACTGGTACGACGAGAACCAAACGCCAAACAGCGTACTAGCAAGTCGGTTTCATAGTGTTAAGATTACTTCAATTTTCTGCGAGCGATTGCTTCAGCGAATCTCGTGGCGTCGACCTGACAGATGCCCTCTGATTTTGCTTTTTGCGGTCGTCAAAGCCGTGGATCTATCGAACTGCCTCGTACCGGTAACGACCTCTGGCGTGATTGAAGGCCAGTGTCGAGGAGAGGAAAAGAAGAATCAAGTGCACACATCGCAGGTTGTGGCACGAGTTCATTCATCCAATATAAAGGAATCACCGCCGCACGTCTGATATTAGAACCAGCGCCATGTCGCTCGGTTGAAACGTACAGGAGATTGTTCGATCGACCAGCTCCCAATTCGTGGTTGGTTTTATTAATAGTCGTGGCATCGAACCCTCGCGCTATCAAGAGCAAATACTACTAGTACGTACTACTGTGCTGGGTCCGGGCCACATGTTCTGATAATGCACCCGCCGTACTGCACCAGCTGGGCTCCAGTTGCAAACGTACTACACTGTAGTCGAACACTCGAATTGCATCGGCCAACTTTCGGCCAGCATGAAAACGCGCTGCAAGACACCGTGATGCAGCGACGATGCAATACGTCCATCCAACGCACTAGTCGTGGCACTGTTCTACTAACTGTTCTACTAACTGATCTACTAACTGTTATGCTACGGTTGGTTGGATGCACCCAATGTGAAACGGGTCGGGTCATTCCCTACTCGCGACGTTTCAAGCTACAGTAGGCACGAATGACCCGCTGACACGCAAAGGTTGCATTGCCCACTTCTGATTTCGCCTCATGCCTCACAGCAGCGACGTGCTGCCATCGCCGTCCGTCGTCGTCATCGACGAGCCCGTCGTCGTCGAGGTCGCCAAGCCGCATGCAGCGTACCGGCCGGACGTCGACGGCCTTCGGACGCTGGCCGTGCTGCCCGTGGTCGTCTTCCACGCATACCCGGACCTCTTTCCCGGCGGCTTTATCGGCGTCGACATCTTCTTTGTCATTTCCGGCTACCTCATCTCTGGTATCCTCTTCAAGGAGAACCAGCGCGGCTCGTTTTCGTACGCGAGCTTTTACACGCGGCGGGTGCGGCGCATCTTTCCCACTTTGATCTTAGTCTTGAGCGCAACGCTGTGGATGGGCTATCTCTACTTGATGGCGGCCAAGCTCAAGGCACTCGCGGCGACGATGCTCGCGGGCACGCTCTTCTGCGCCAACCTCCAAGTGCTCTCGCTGGAGCATTCGTACTTTGCGCTCGACATCAAGATGAACCCGCTCCTACATCTCTGGTCGCTCGGCGTCGAAGAGCAGTTTTACATATTTTGGCCGCTCCTCGCGTCGATGGTCATGCGACTGTCGTACAAGCGCGCGCTGCTTCTCCAAATGGCCGTGCTAATCGGTAGCTTCGGCTTCAACATTGGCTTCATCGGCTACCACGACACCAACAACGTCTCGTTCTACAACCCGCTGAGCCGGTTTTGGCAAATGGCCATGGGCGGTCTCCTCGCGTACGTGACAAAATTCAATCCGAACGAGGCGTACACGAGCGTCACCACGTCGCCCGGTGCAGCCAAGGCGTCGTCGTCGGCTCCGTCGCCACGTCGCAACCATCTGCTGTCCGTGTCGGGCCTTGTGTGCATCCTCGTTGGCTTTTACTGCATCAACGAAGCCCGCTTGTTTCCGGGCTTTTGGGCGCTGCTCCCAACCGTCGGTGCCACCTTGCTCATCGCCGCAGGCCCCGACGCGATCATCAACCAGCATCTCCTCAGCAACCGCGTCGCGGTCTACATTGGCAAGATCAGCTACTGTCTCTACCTCTGGCACTGGCCGCTCCTCGTGTTTGCAAAAGAGCGGTACCCGGACGACCCGCCCATGTACGCCTCGCCGCTGACGATGCTTCTCGCGAGCTTCGTACTGAGTGTGCTCACATACAAGGACGTCGAGACGCCATTGCGCCGCAAGAAGGCGTGGTATGTGACCCCGACGCTCGTGCTATGTGTCGTCGCGCTCGGAATTGCTGCCTTGTGCGTCTACACCGACCCGTCGCAGTTTTCGGCCATTGAAATCGAAGTCGCCAAGTCGCTCACAGCCGCCGACGTCGAGATGGCACCCGTCGCCACGGCGCCCGCTGACTACCCCTCGCAGGTGCAGGCCCACGCGACCGAGGCAGGCAACAGTACGTGGACGTCGGTGCACGCGTCGAACGTACCGATCGTCGCTTCCGGGGCCCCGGTCGTCATCCCCGTCAATGCGTCCGTGCAGCTTGCTACTGCGGCCCCCGTCGTCGCCACCGACGCTCCTGTCAACGCGACCGAGGTCCGCGTTGTGGCGACGGCGGCACCGATCGTCGCCACGGCTGCACCGATCGTTGCGACGGCTGCACCGGTCTTGAAGAAGCGCCCGCCGACGACGCTGGCGATGGTGCGCAAGTCGCAAGTCGACGGCGCATGGAACACGGGCGCTGGCATCACGTGTCCCGCCGACTTGCCGTATGTGGCCAAAGCGATAACGCCCAAGCCATTTCCGTTCAAGGAGTTCATTAGCTCGGCGTACCCCGAAGTGTGCCAGCTGCTCAACCCGCACCACGAAGAGAACGGCGTCCTCGTCGTCCTTGGCGACTCGCATGCAGACATGACCAAGCCTCGCATTGTACGTCTCTTTGAACAAGCTACGGCTGCGCAAAAGCCGTTCCCGACTGTCATCTTCAAGACGCGGTTTGGGCGCGCGCTGCTCTCGTGCCGTCCCGAGTTCTCGGCCAACATGGCCATGGTCAAGGCGCTCAAGCCGCAAGCCGTCCTCTTGGTAATCCACTGGATTCAGTACCTCAACCCCGCGGCCCCCGCGGGCGCGCCGCAGAGCTACCCACCCAAGTGCTGCTGGGAGAACGGCGTGCCGTGCAAGGACCAGAGCATGGCCGACGTCGACGCGCTCTTGTTGGACCTCCAAGACGAGCTCATTGCGCTAAGGGACCTCGGGATCAAGGTCTTCCTCGTCGACCAGAGCCCCGAGTACGACCGCATGAACCCGGCAACGTGGCTCCACGGCGAGACCGTCAAGCTCCCGACCGAGCCCGTGCTCAAGTCGGTGTTCCAGCACGAGCGGCAATGGCTCTTTGACCGCCTTCACCGTGTCGTCGCCAACTCGGATGCGACCTTGATCGACTACGCCGACAACTACTCGGACGGCGACAAGATCAAGTTTGTCGACGACGCCGGCGTGCCATACATTTGGATCTACAACCACTTGACGTCGACGGCCGCGCGGAACCACCTCTCGGTCGTCGATAGAGTCGTGGCGGCCGCCATGACGCGCCACGCATAGTGCTCGCCTCCAACGACGCCAACTAGAGTCCTAGTCCATTTCCTAACTCCATCTCTATCTTAAATACAATCCAACTCGACTTTTATGCGGTCGGAGACGCGGTTAACTGGACGTACAACAGCAACAAGGGTGGTACCTTGAACCAACGCTGCCGCCATCTTCGCGCCGTGCTCACCGCCTTGTAGCCGACACCGAACATGACAAGGACGCCCAAGACAACAGTAATATATCACAAGTCCGAGGGGCATGCCACGCATTGGCCTCCTACGTGGCATGCGCAGCGTAGGGCTCGGGCGGCGCACGGTACGACGTTTCGCTTGGCGACACCGGCCACCCAGCATGGAAGCGGCGCTCGTCCGGGTCCATGCGCGCGAGCCAGAGACCGACAAGTGTCCACATGGTCAGCACCGTCAAAAAGTCGAACGCAATTGCTGCCCGCAGTGGACCGCAGCGCAAGAGGGCCACGCTTCCGCAACCGGCGTTGAGATCGCTGGCCGCGGTGGACAAGCCGACGACGAGTCCCGCCAAGCTTAGAAGCACGTCGACGACCAGTGTGACTTTAGTCGTTGTTGTCAACGGCACATAGTGCACATCGTCGTCGTCGTCATCGTCCAACTCTTGACGAGGGCGGGAGGCAATGTCCTTGTAAACGACGACGATCAAGACGGCGCCTTGGAGAAGCAGCAGCACCAAGACAACGAGCAGCGCTGTCCAAACGCCACCGCCAAGTTGCGTCGAGACGCCGTCGGCGGTTGTAACTACAATACACTGTCAGACCTTTTGTCGAGTCGGTGATGAGAGTACCCGTGGGAAAGGCGCCAGCGAGCGCTGCGAGGCCGACACCCGCGCAGACTGCTTGGAGCACCCGGCCAACAACGGGCAAAAAGTGTGCGACCTCTTCCGACCAATCAAGCTCGTCGTCATCTTCGTCGTCCTCGCCGTGCTCATGCGCGTGAAGAGGTGGATTAGGTGCTTGCGGTCTCTGGCGATGCGCTCGCTTTCGGGCGATCACAAAGAGACATAGGAGCACGAGGAGCGCGAGGCCAATGAGGATGAGCCCGACTGCCATGCCAGTCGTGCCCGAGGAAGTCGCATCGCTCGTCAATGTGGTTTGGTTGCCTCTGCCAGCGTTATCGATCGGGCTGCGCGTCGTGATCGTCGTCACTGGCGGTGTCGTTGGGGACGTCGTGGTTGGCGTCGGTGTCGTTGTCGGTGCCGGCGTCGTCGTCTTGGGCGGCTTGGTTGTCGGCGCGTGCGTAAGCGCATCTTGCTTGCTTGGGTAAAAGCAAATGGAGCGCAAGGTCGATACGGTGATCGTGTTGATGCCGTCGCTCAAGGCGCAGTTGCTGAGGCGTGAGCTCAAGAAGCCGGTCGCGAGGAACGTGCCGCAGACGACCGAGCCGCAGTCGCTCGCGACGAGGCTGAGGTCAACTCTGTTGTCCATTAAAGCGGACAGGAAGTCGCAGCTCGAGAAGCCCGGGAAGCCCTCGAGCGACTTGAGCGCGCTGTTCAGCGCCTCTGCGCACGTCGCCGTCATCGTCGAAAGTGTGCAAATCGAAGTGCGTTGATTGGCGGCTTTCCGCCAATCAGTGCGCGACCAACTCAGATCCTTGCGGCGCTGACTTTTGCGCTGAGCTGAATTGCCGGACGGGACCCCGACTCTCCAAACTGCATCTACCAAGCGATTACATAATATATACATACTAGAGATACTATAAATGCAAACTTTAATGGGAGTATGAAGCGCTCGTGGGCAAGGGTTGGCTTCCGTACAAGCGCTTGTTGTGCGCGTATGACGGAGTGTGGCGAACCAAGAGTGCATAAACTCTTGGGCGAACTGACCAAGGATAATATTGTCTATCCGCACGTTTACGAATTCGCGAATCCGTGAAGCAATTGATATGAATGAATGCTCAAGTGAGTCAAGTGCCGAGATTTCGGATCGGAATGCGTTGTGAGAGCGTGCCACGTCATTTGTTGAGCCGGATAGACTTCGACTATCCGGCGCCTTGGCCGACATCGGTTGCCGTTTGTGCTGAGGCAACTTGGCGTCTCTCGTTGACTGCGAGTGCGATGGAATTTCCCGCCGTTCCCAGCAGAGGATTTTGAGACCTGTTTAGACACGACCAGTGACTACCAGAACTACCGCCCGCAGAACACGATTGTTGTGACGTGGAGATGATTATGTTTGGGGTTGTATCAAAATGTCTTTCATTTATGTTTCATGTATCTAAGATACATTCCCTACACCAAGAGCAGCGCTAGACAGACGAGAAGCGACCACGTAGCCTTCATGGTTGGTCCCGACGGCGCTGCAAAGCTCGTCACGTTGGTGGCGTTGGGCTTGACCACCTCGGTGGTCGACGTCGCCGTCGTCGATAGTGGCCGCGCGGTCGTTGCCACGGCCGTCGTATTGGGCGCACTGGTCGTCGCAGGACGAGGCATGGTCGTCGGCGGCGTCGTCAACGCACTGAGCTTTGTTGGGGACAAACAGGTCGGACCAAAGTCCGAGATGGCCATTGTGTAGTTGGTGTCTCCGTCGGTCACGTTGCAGCCAAGGAGGTTTTCGTTCAAAAAGCCCGTCGTGATGAGCTTGATGCAGTTTGGCGACAGAGTGCAGTCTTCAGCGAGGTAGTTCAGATAGGTGCCGTCGAGCGAGAGGAACCGGAGAAACCGGCAGCTGCCAAATCCCTTTTGATTCGAGAGTTTGCCCAGCGAGTCATGGAGCGCCTTGTAGCATGCCGTCATCGTTGAGAAAACTAAAATGAGCCACCGCAACGCAGCGCCTCTTGCTTGCAACTGCTGGCCACAGATCGCCTCAAATCCGTCTCCGATTTCTGACTATCATTTCAGGTGACAACTGGACCTGAAATGGTCTGATCATGTTCACTGCAGTCGGGTCTCGGCAAGGCTGCTAGGCAGAGCGGCCGTGCAGTCTCTCACATCCAAGGGAATGAAACGGTATCCATGTACTCACAATGTTTTGTCAAATAAACGTGTACCTTCACAACCGCAGCGTACGCGCCTTTGCCATCGCCACGGCAAGTCCACGGACAAGGCCATGCCTGTACTGGTTGTATCGAATTGCGGGCTGCGTCGAGTCGGAACGGGACGTTCTCGAGGTGCTCCACGCACAAGGGTGGTGGCCACTGCCAGCAGACCTCCCGCCCCTGGCTTCAGCGAAGGCGGGTTTTGTCCCGGAGCTGGCCGCTAGGGTTAGGCTTGGCGGGTATCAACGGAACTGCCAGCCCGGGCTTTAAAGCCACGCGTTCTCACGCAGTCCACCAGTTAAGCGGTCAATATAGACCGGAAGTGTTCACTTCCATTCTTTGCTTCCCCACTCACTTGTATCCCTGTTCCCCGTTCCCACTTGATGCATGTCCTTGGATGAGCAAGCAATCATGGTGCACGGAGCGACTGCGTGGAGCTGTTGTTGCAAATGTTGACGTACAACTGAAGGAAGTCGACATGCACAATCGCCCAGGAAGAGGCATTGTCGAAATATCGAATGCAGACTCGGGGCACTCACGAACGCATGGGACCAGAACATACCACTGGCTCGGCGCATGCAGCTTGGTGAGGTTTCCGTGTTGGTTGCTAGCACATTGCATAGTTTGGCGCTGTATATTGGTACAGAACGCTGAGAACGATTTGTAATTTGCTACCGTTGTCAACCACGCGACAGAGCAGAAGCCTATGCTGGCAGTGTTTTGATAAACAACAATGTCCTAGCCATGGCGAAGAAATTGGCATGAACTGTATTTATCTCCGAAAACCCAGGCAACTGAAAACCTTTACTACCTACATCAAGAGCAGCGCTAGACAGACGAGAAGCGACCACGTAGCCTTCACGGTTGGCCCGGACGGCGCTGCGAAGCTCGTCACATTGGTAGCGTTGGACTTGACCACCTCGGCGGTCGTCGCCGTTGTTGTCGATAGTGGCCGCGCCGTCGTTGCCACGGCCGTCGTATTGGGCGCACTCGTCGTTGTAGGGCGTGGCGTGGTCGTTGGGTTTCTTGTGAACGCGCTGAGCTTTGTAGGGGACGAGCAAGTCGGGCCAAAGTCCGAGATGGCCATCGAGTAGTTGGTACGGACGTCCGTCACGGTGCAGCCAATGAGGCTTTCGTTCAAAAAACCCGTCGTGATGATCTTGGCGCAGGTCAGCGACAAGGTACAGTCGGCGGCGAGGTCCTCCAGAAAGGTGCCGTTGAGTGAGAGCCCCCGCAAAAATGGGCAATTGCCATAGCGCTGTTGGTACGTGTTTGAGAGGTTGTTCAGCGTATATCGAAGCGCTTCGTAGCATGCCGTCATCGTCGTCAAAATGAAAATGCGCCACTACAGCGCAGTGCCTGTTGCCTACAACCGCTGGCAACCCATCGACTTACATGCGTCATCGCATTCTGACGCTCGTTTCAGGGTCAACTGAAACCAGACTTTGGATGTACGGTAAGCGTCCATCCTGCTCACTCTTGTTCCTGTCCACTGGACTGTAACTATCACGCTATGAGCCTACCACCACACATCTTTTTCAGGCGATGCGATGTTGAATCAACCATAAAATGGTTGATTCATTTACGTCCACCGGATTGGCCACTCGTTTGATAAGGTAAGATTGTGCAAGGTGCTCTCTCTTGCAGCGACATCAGAAGCAAAACCAGTACCCAGAACCATTGGAGATATGGTCAAGTAGAGCTCAAGGGCGTGGATGTGCGTTTGCGTCATACAGTATGTGGCTGGGAGGATGACCACAAAGAATGGCGCTGTCGAAAATAAGTGTACTACAGTAGTACCCTTCCAGGAGCGCCAGACTCTGGTCGTGCGGCGCTGTCGTCCATCTCGCCAGATTCTCAGCACGATCTCGAAGTGAATGGGAAGAATTACCGGTAGTTAGTGTAGATGCATTACCTAGTGTCTAATGCAAATATGAGGCAAAACTGGGCAAAACCTAACCTTTCCGCTGAATCTGCCACGTCATCTCTTGGTTTTTGTAGCGAGCGTGTAACCGGCGACTTTCGAGCTGCAGTCATCGTGCTCATGTCGGGGCTCGGCAACTTGATTCCGCTTGGGAAGAAGGAAGACAAGTCCAAGAAGAGCGAGGACCTCACGAGTGGCCTCATCCCGATCGGTGGCAAGGCGCCAAAGGACGACGATAACGTCGATGACTTTGATCTGGACGACCTTCTGAGCGACACGCCCAAGAAGAAGGCGGATGACTCGCCTGGTACGCCCGTCTCTACCATTTCGACGTACCTCGCACACAACCAACCCCGTAGGCAAGTCGTCCAAGAAGAAGAGCTCCAAGTCCAAGGTAGGTCTGGTATATCACAAGCGTATGCGGCTGACGTCGGGTCTAGTCAAAGTCGTCGCCAAAGTCCAAGTCGGACAAAAAATCCAAAAAGGTAGATGGCATTTTAGAGATTGATGATGTGATGCTACTATGTCCATAGAAAGACAAGTCGTCCATGGACTGGGATGCGTCCGGCGACTTGGGTGCGTCCGACGATGCCTTTGCGTCGCCGCCCAAACCGTCGTCGTCATCGCGGAAACCCTTGTCGTTTGAGAACGACGACGACGTCATCGCGCAGCTAGCCAAAGGCCCCGCCAAGAAGAAAAGCATGCAAAACCTCGATGACGAGTTTGCCAGGGCACTTGGCTTTGACGAATCCGAGTTCTTATCGGCGACGAGCCCTACGAACGATGCAGATACCGAGGACCAGCCGCCACCGCCGAGTGCGCCGCCACCGGCACCAGAGCCGTCTTCGGCCCCCGCACCCGACGACCGGTTCTCGCTCGCGTCGTCCTTCTTTCAAGACGATGCTGGCGATGAGAAACCGAAAGAAGACTCGTTCTCGAGCGATCGGCGCGGCCGCGGACGTCGTAGTAGCACAGCAATGATGGACGACGATCCATTTGCGAAAAAACCGTCCAAAATTGAGAGCCTCGACATCTTTGGGTCGTCGCGCCGACGCAGCGACGGCACGGACGCACCGACCAAGCCGTCTTCAACTACACCGCCGAAAGCCACCCAGGTCACCCCGCCCAAGGCAGCCACTGCCGACGTGACACCGCCCAAGACGTCCGCACCGGACAGCGATCTGCCGGCGTTTCCTTGGATGAAGAAGAAAACGGGAGCAGAGCCAACACCGACACCGAAGGAAACTCCACCGGTATCCGAGACAAGAGCCGACACGGCCGAGGCAACACCGAGCTTTCCATGGATGCGTGCCAAGGCCGACGCACCAAAGCCCACAGACGAAGCGGTCGTCGACGACCCGCCAGCGGCGCGGCGTCGAAGTACCAAAGCTCCAAAAGATGCTGACGATGTGGATCCGTTTGGTACTGACGAGACGCCGTCATTTCCGTGGATGAAGAAGAAGACCGAAGGAACGCCTGATGTGACCAAGGCAGACACGAGCAGTAGTGACATGCCATCTTTTCCGTGGTCCAAACCAAAGGTCGACGAGCCGCCGCCGCCAAGTGCCAAGTCCAAGACACCGCCCAAAGCTATCGAAACAAAAACCACCGACGACGACGAGTTGCCCGAGTTTCCATGGCTTAAGAAATCCAATCCCAAAGAAAATGTTCCGGCACTTCAGGAAGCCAAAGAACCGCCCAAGACTGTACCACTGGCGACGCCATCCCCCGAGAAGCCCGTGGCGGCACCGTCACCCGAAAAACTCGAAGAGCCCCCCACACGACCCCGGCCGCGTGTTGACACGGCCCCTCCTTCAGAACCCGAGCCATTTCGAGTGCCGGACGAGCCTGTGATCAATCCCAGCGTGGTACTGGAACCAACGCCAGCAGAGCCGCCACCGGCCAGCTCGCCAGCGCGGTCGCCATCGATACCAATGGCCACAGAGGCTCCGCCCCGTGCGCCGTCGCCCGTGTCCCCCCGGCGCACGTCCATCGAGGCACCGCCGTCACCAACCCACCGCGGCAGTGGCAGTGGCTTTGACAAGGTAGATGATATCCCACAACCTCTATCTCACCTTGAACTAGTCGGCATCGTCGCCACCAAAAGCAGCAACGGGTTCGCCGACGCGGGCGCCGGGCTACGGCGGCGACGACGGCGGGGGACCGCAACGGCTCAGCCCGGCGTCCCGCGGCACATTCCTCGACAATACTATGATCGTGCCCGCATTCATTTCGCACCAACTTGAAGCCAGTCAGGCGCTCGTCGCGAGCTTGGAGGCGCAGGTGCAGGCGCACTCCGCCGACAAGACAGCGCTGCAGTCGGTCCACGACCAAGTCTGTTGCTCGAGTTTTCGTTGATTAACAAATGGGCACGCTCTAGGTGTTGTCGTCTCTCAGCCACGAGACGGCGCGGGCAGCGGGTTTTGAGAGCGATCTTGCTGCCTCGATGGCAGCTTGCGCGGCTGCGACATCCGAGGTTGGAGTTGTCGTACGTCAGCATAATGAACGACGACTAGGCATCGACACTCCGAGCGGGCAACGCGACGTTGACCACTCAAGTCGGTGCGCTCACGCAAGAAAAACAGGTGCTGTACGTACGTAGTAGCTCGATCGCACGCTAGCGTAGGCGCTGAGCACGGAGCTCACCATGCTACGTGTACAAGCCTCTTCGACCGCCGACCTACAAGCGCAGATTGCCCAGCTCCTTCAAGACAAGAGCATTCTGCAGGCCGAGCTCCAAAACGTGTCGTCCAAGCTCGTCCTGGCGCAGCGCGATCTCTCGTCCGAACAAGCACTCCACGCGCAGAGTGTCGAGCGGTTCAAACGGCTCGAGCACGACCGCGCCCAGGAAGCCCTCCAGCAGCAGCGTTGGCGCGACGAAGAGAACCGGCACGCTGAGAAGGAGGCGGTTGAGCGGCTCTTGACCCAAGTGCGCGCGGCTGTGAGCAACCTCAAGGTACTCCTTAATTTTTTGGGGGCTTGAACATTCTTGACCTATTTTCGATGGTAGGTGCTACAAGAGAACGTTGTGTTTGGCAAATCCGAAGCCGACGTGCGCAGCATGGGCGAGAACGAGTCGCGGTCGCGCCTTCTGCTCGAGATGGAGGGCAGCTGCAAGGCGTATATGAGCCGGACGCAGGAAGAGTGCCAGCGTCTGCAATGTACAGCGTGTCTCTAGTCTCTGGAATGCCTCGAATACTGACGTAGCGCTGCTCTCGGCGCTTGAAACCACGATGCGGTCGCTTCGAGGCGAGCACATGGAGGAGAAGGAGCGACTGCGCAGCGAGCAAGCGCGTCTCGAAGAGCTCGCGTTGCACTTCAAGTCGCAAACGACACTGCTTCAAGAGCGCACCGACACCAACACCAAAGTTGTGTCGCAAACCCTCGGTACCTCGGAGACTATCAACTTGATACAAAGAGCAATTGATATTCCATAGCCAGTTATATCCAAGACATTCGTATTGCCGAAGCACGCATGCACAAGCGCCGCGAACAGCACCAAGAAGAAGAGCGGTCGTTGCACATGGCCCGCGCGGTCGACAAGAAAAGCACGTCATCGATCGAACTGATGGTTTGTATGTAGGCGTTTGCTGCGCAGCAGGAAGAAGCGCTTCGCGACCAGCGCATCGTCCAAGATCGACACCAAGCCGAGGCCCAGCGGTTGAACGAAAAGCTCGGTCGACTTCGGGCCGAGAAGCACGCGTTCGAAGACATGATTGCGCGGTACGCGACCGAAATGGAGACGCTGGCCGAGATGCAGCGTCATCTGGACAACGAGAAAGACTCCCTTCGCCACGCTGCGCAGTGCGTCGAAGCCATGGCCGAGAAGGTCAAGGCCGCGAGCGAAGTGAGTGCGGCCAACGAGCAGCGCGCGCTGGAAGAGCGCGACCAAGCGCAAGCGATGCTGGAAGCCATGCACGACGAACGGCTCCGCCTCCAAAAGCACTGGAGCCAAGTCGACGAGCGCGAGCGACGGCTCCAAGAGGAAATCAAGTACATGGACGCGACGCGGCGCAAGCTCACCGAGGAACGGTCGAGCCTCCTCACGCACCGACGCCACGCGCGGTCGGCCACCGACTGGTCGCGCCCACCGGCACCCATTGCGGCTGTGAGTTACGCTCGAGAGTACGAGGCGTCGACACCGCGCTCTAACCAGACGCCACCGACACCAACACCAGCAATGTGGCGACCAGAGGCGATGCCCCAGCATAAGGACCCGACAGGTCTAAGTCCGTCGTTTCGGACCGAGATGGAAGGCTTCTGGTCCAAGGGCAGCGGGATGGGTACCTTAGACACATCATCTGATCTGGCGACCAGACTCAGAATGTGGGAGCTAGATCCGGCGACGTCGCGCCAAACGGCGCAGCTCAAGGACCGTATGTTTCTCTCGTGTGTGGGACTGGACCACTCCAAATACACGCCCCCGCGTGCCGGCGTACCAATGTCCACGTACGGGCGCACGCCGTCACCATCGCTAGGTTCGTTTGCACTCTGACAGGACAGAGATCGCGCTGTCTTTTTAGTCCAACCAACTATAACTTTTTTACGCAACACTGAGGAGAGCGCGACACACTCGTACCTTGGCCGTCGACGGGAAATTTCTCGATTGCATTCTGTTCCTCAATGTCCTCAGTCTCTCGTAAGGGAATAGGGTCTCCATATTCGGGTACGTTCTTGGAGAGTACGGAGCTGTTTCGATCGAATATTGTTCCAAAGCTGCACACACAGTGCAAGTGGAAATCGAATAAGGTTAGTTAAGAGGCCGCCCACGAAGACGACCGGGGTAGTTATCAACTAGTACTAGAAGCGTACAGTAGTAGGGCTAGAGTCGCACACCTCAGGCCATGGGAAATGCGTGAGCTGCTTGGTCGTTGACGTGCGGTGGTTCAACGAGGTGCGCGGTGCTCGCTGACTGGGTATGGTGGTTGTGCGACTGCTGGAAGAGAGCGCGTCTCTTTTTTGGTCGCAGCTTTACGAGGAGCTGCTTCGAAAATACTTGGAGACGACTCGTGGCGCGCGTGCCTGTGTGCTTGGAGCGGGTTCGAGCACTGTTGAAGACGGCTCTAGTTGCTCCCGTTGTCCAGAGTCCATCGTGTCGTGGACCGTCGGTTGTAGCAAAATGCTGCGCGTAGCCTCGTCGTCTAGACCACGTTGCTCAGTGCACGATCGACGCCAGCGTACGTACCAGAACTGGCTTCGTCGCTGTCAGCTCGGCGAATACGTTTTCGGCGGGGCGATCCACTACGCCTCTCCCTCGTTCTTCTTCGTCGGGTCGACCGCAACGATGGAATATCCACGTCATCGTCGCGACCTACATGATCCTCGATCGTCATGTGCCATCACATTATGGTGACGTACGCAGATCCTTCTCGTCCTCGCTATCTGCAAACTCGACGAAGTCGTTCGGGACGACAAAGCCGTCCATTTCGTAGCCGTCGCTGCCATCGTCCAGCGCAAGTGCAAAGTCGTCGTCGGCAAGTGCAAAGTCTTCGTTCTCCGCGGGCGGCGCTTGGACTTTATGTGCGACAACGACCTCGGTCTTGGTCGCTTCGTTGAGGATCGCACGAATGTCTACTTTGCACAGCGGACACGTCGACGAAACGTTGGCCCACGCGCGAATGCAAGCAAAGCAGAACCGATGGCGGCACGCAATCGAAGCGCCGGTCACGACCGCCTGCAGGCAGATCGCTACGCACAGTGCATTGTCAGTCGGCCAGCGAACGCGGTTGTACCGCACGTGGTCGCTGCGCCGCCACTGACGTCGGCGGACGGCGGCGCGCGAAAGTACCGGCTCCGGCGCATCGACCACCTCCCACACTTGATACTATTGTTGCCTCTGCCACTTTATGTTTCATGGCAGAATAGATAGATAGTCGATGATAAGCTTAGACTCTAGACCGGTGGCTCGGGCTCAAGTGTTGTCGTTGACGTCTGGAGACCCGAGCTGCCTCGCCGCAGCTCAACCGTGTCCGTGAAGAGACTATACTCGCTCGTCGCAGTCGTGGCATCCGTCTCGCGTGGTGACGCAATCGCCAGTGGAGACGACAACGAAACAGCCATCTCGGCCCGTGATCGGAGCTGCATTGACGCCTCGAGATGATGGCTCGATGACGCATCCTGCTTGAACCATGGCGAGAGCGGCCCGTCGTGCTCGAGCTCGACACTGCTTGGCGGCGCGTGGGTCTGGGTTCGCCCGTACGCAGCGGCTCGCTGGACAACAAGGTAGCAGGCAATGAACCCAACGACAAAGACAAAGACGACGGCGACACCGACGAGGGCCTTGGCGTACGCCGGGTCGGCAACGTGCGTACTCGTGATCACTGGGTACGCGGTCGTCGCGTTCAGCGTCGTCGCGTTGGCGACCATATTGCATGCACCTGTTGAGAATGGATGTGGCAGTAGCAGATCCTGGGCGCGAACGCTGGACGGCAATACACTGTACGCTGTAGCAGGTCGGTTCAGCTTGGGTGGCGGCCAAGCCGGATACTTTCAGTGGGCACGCATGTCGCGTCGCGCCACCACCTGACGTGGCAGCGGCTGCCACCAGCGCGATGCGCGGGCCTTCAAGCTTTTACGGGACTGGGACTGGTGCGTCGCCCACCGCTATTCATTACGTCATGCCCAAAGCGGCTTGAGTAGCCTGGCGCCAGCGAGCGAGGAACCAACAAGGCTTGATGTTCTGTGATCCAAACAGCTCACTAACGTTATCCTAGCTCAATCAGATAGAGAAAGGCCGCACCGCAGTGCCATCCAAGCGTAGCCATGCGATGGGCCAACAGCTCCTATAAATGAACAGAGCTGCTTGGTTTTGGTCATTGGCTTCTGGTGCACAGCAATTCTTATGGTCGACGCGTTAGTTTGGGAGGAGATGGGTTGGCGGACGCTGGACGCGATCTTGGACACGGCTCGGCACAAGCGAGGACATCGTCTCGTCTCGACACCTTTCTTTGCTGCAAGAAGACGCGCTTTGGGCATGGACTTGACAGGATCAGCGTCACTGGAAGTGCAAGTCCCCTTCAACACCGCTCCTCGACTGCCCATGAGCAAATTTGTGATTCTGCAAATTTGTTGGCTGGCGTGTCGCAGACTGGAATTCGCTTGGAGGAGTACATGGGACTGACGACCGATGCCGTGCCGGCGCGACCCAAGGGGCAGCAACCTTCTACACGAGCGCACGTCTCGCTTCGTGCAATGCATCACCCGTGCCTCTCCCGCTCATTGCGTTCGAAACGAGCCAAGTCCACATCACGGACGATTTGTGGTAATTCAGCAGCCGTCAACCAACTGCAAGCACCCATGCCACACGATCCCCGGGCGTTCCTCGAGAAGCGACAGGTCCTTGGACAGAGCCGCAAAGCTCCACCCAGCAGCGTCCATGATCAACACAGTCCAACGCTAGGAGGTTCTCCAGGCTTTAGTTTACGGGTGTCGTGCTCGTGCCACCAAAGCTGCAAATGATTTTCTTATTTCTCTTCATTGTATCGAACCAAGCCGCCAACACCGGGCTCCGAAGCCTTCAAGGACCCATATTTGCACTCACGTGAGGGGTTCTCGCAACGATTCCCAGAACAATGCAAGATGCCCCCATCTTTCAACACCGGAAATGACCTTGGTGTCCAGTGCAGTACGGGCACTACACGCATCGGTGGTCAATTCGGCGATGGTCGATTCACAAATCTTGCATTTCGTTTCGATCTGCATGCTTCGGTCCGGCTTGGCTTCTTTATAAACCACCCACAGAGCCACCCATCGGTCCCTTCTTGGGCACCCACCCAACACGAACCTCGCCATGCACTTGCGCCGACGAGTAGACTTAGCCATCCCTCGCGATACCGACGTCCACGCTCTAAACTGTTGTTGTCGGTGGTAAACAGTTTGGCTTGATAATTTACAATAGATACGGCAACACACTACCATGTCGCCTCTATCTTAGAGCGCAAAGCTGTCGTTCGAGTCCCGACTCTTGGTGCGGAGGTACCGGCTCGAGGCCAAGTCGGTTGAGCTGTGCATTTCCGAGCCGCTAAAGCTCGAAACAAACGACGGGTTGGGGCTCCCAGACACGAAGCTCGAAGGCCCGCTGCTCGTGGTGGAGGCGTGGTACCGGCGGGAGCTGTTGGTGTCAGCGGCCGCGGCGGCCCACGCGTTCATCTCGCGCGGCGGCGCCGTCGCATCCGACTGCGCCGAGAGTGGTGACGCCGGCACGTCACTGCTCACGTACGATTTTTCGCTGATCGGGTACGTCTCAAACTTGTTTTGAAAACGGTACGGCGGCGGTGGCGCCGATGCTGCCACGTCCTGGGCGGCTGACTCCCACGTAAATAGACCGGGCTTGACCCCTCGGTCTGAGCCACCGAGGACGGCCATGTCCCGCTGCGAGTCGAGCACGTTGCTGGGTCGACTCCCGACGACGACGCCGGTGGAGGCGTCGGGCGCCGCATGGAACCGACCACCGACGTACGTGCTGTTGTCCATCGCCGACTTGGTAAACGCTCGGATCGACGGCATGTCGTCGTCGTCGGCGTACCGTGTCGAACGCTGGCGCGTGAAGAAGCACCATCCGATGAGCAGCGCTGCGAGCACGGCCGCGACCGACACGCCGACGATGACTGCAATGCTCGTGCCACTTCCCGAGCTCTCTTCCGTCGCGGGTGCTGTTGGCGTCGCGGTCGTTGCCCGGAGTTTTGTCGGCATCGGTGCATCGGTCGGACCAGCCGTTGGGGCCGACGTCGGTGCTGGCGTCAATGGAGCGGGTGCCGACGTCGATGCTGTCGGCTCGGGCGCCGGCGTCGGTGCTGGCGTTGGTGCTGGTGTTGGCGCCGGCGTTGGTGCTTGTGTTGGCGCCGGCGTGGGGGCAGGCGTCGGTGCTGGCGTCGGCGCTGGCGTCGGTGCTGGTGTTGGAGCAGGCGTTGGAGCAGGCGTTGGTGCGGGCGTTGGAGCAGGCGTTGGTGCAGGCGTTGGTGCGGGCGTCGGTGCAGGCGTTGGCGCGGGTGTCGGCGCGGTCGTTGGCTTGGGTGCTTCCGTTGTCGGCGTCGGCTGTGCAGTCGACGGGCTTGGGACCGGCGTCGTCGTGTTGGTGGCCTGCGCGTCCGCCGTCGCTGCCAATGCGAGAAGGAGGAGTGCGAGGAGAGCGGTGATTCGTGCCATGATGCGTCGACGACTGCGCGACGCACGGCCAGAGTTCAATTGAGCGCGCACGCGACGAAGGTGCTCGGCGCTCCTGAGATCCACATGGCTTCCGCACCCAGCCGGATCTTTCGTCGGCGCTCGACCAATCATCGTGCGGAGCGGTCGTTTTGCGTGATGCCATTGGTCAGCACACCGAGACACTGTGCCAAAATTGTCCATCTCGGCGTCGCGTCTGTGCGCCGCCGAGATATGAGCGGCGCGTCATGAACGATCCCGAGACCAAACTGTACCAAGGTCCACGCGATGTGTGTCTATCTTGAGGAGGAGCCGGTGGCGTCATTTCGTAGTTACCGAAGTAAGTCGACTTGAACAAAGGGCAACTTGACCGCGCCTCTGGCCATGGGTGCTGCAACGCGGCGCCAAGCCTCTCACGCACCGATGCAATGACGCATACTTGGGAGGAGTAGTACTATGGTACAGCAGCAGTCGCCGTACGTCACAGCGTCGGGCGAGCGGCCGAGGCAGCACGGGCCGACCACAGCTCATCCTGGTACCACAGTGCACACGGCGAGTACCGTGTACGGTACGCTTCGGTGATCTCATCCATGCAGCGCCCGGTGATATACATCGTTCAAGCGAGTGGTATCACGACGCCTCCTCCTCCGTGATGTCGCCAAGGAGACGACGACCTCTGCCTACTTGTCGTTGCTGGGATGAGATGGACAGCCTATCGTTCTACTATTATAGTCGCGGTACCCTAGTCCTCGAGCGTCCAGTCTTTCGCACGTCCCACATCTTGGATTGCAAACACATTTGTCCTAGGCGTGCGTGGACGCATGCCGCGTCGACGGTCGCGTGCGACTTCGTCCTTGAAGCTGTGTCTGGCACTTCCTTTATCACGAGTCGAAATGTGCAAGCAAGTCGACGCAAAGGACATAGGCATATCTTTGCACCGTACTAAAGAAGTGCTTATAACGTGAACGCGCGGTCGTCACTGGAGCGACCCGAGAGCGCCGAGTCGCGCTCTTCGGACGACCGCGCCGAGAGGAACGAGTCGTTGTTGGGCATCGTGCGGTCCGTTTGCATCGCGGCGGCCGACGAGTCGAGTGAAAACTGCCACGGGTTGGTCGACCGCCCCGGCGACGACGCCCGGTATCCGCCGGTGATGTCGCTTGTATACGAGCCGTGGTCGCTGGCCACGTCGTCGGGCATTTGCCCATGGCTGTCGGTGCCGCGCGAGTCCCATGTGAAGAAGCTCGTGCCGACGTCAGCTTCCAGCATCGACATGGAGATCGGTGGTACGTCCGCATACTCGTTGTTGCGGCCGTTGTTGATGGTACCTTGTTGGTGGTGGTGTTGCTGGTGGAAGACGATGTTATTGTCGTTGGGGTAGTCAAAGCGGCTCGGGCCCGCCGCCTGCGACGATGTATAGACGTCTGTCGGCGGCGCTGGCAGCGCCTTCATCGCGTACTCGCCGGCATACGTCGACCGACCAAACTCGGACTTGTACCCGCGGGCCGTCATCATGTCGTCGTCGTCGTCGGTCATGCGGCGCTGGCGCAGAATTAGGAACGCGACGAGGCCACCGAGGACTGCGACGGCTGCGACGGCGCCAACGACGATGATCGTCACGGTCGACGAGTTACTGTCGTCGGTGGCTGTCGTCGTGCCATTCTTGGTCGCGGACGGTGCTTTCGTCGTCGTCGAGTGCCCGTTGGAGCCCGAGCTGCTGGCCACGATCGGCGCATCGGTCGGCGTCACGACAACCGGCGCCGGTGTCAACGGCTTCAATGTCGTGGTGCTCGGCGGCGTCGTCGTCGCCACCGTCGTCGATGGCTCCGGTGTTTTGGTCGATGGCGCCGCTGTCGTCGGCGCGACCGTGGTCGGCGCCACGGTCGTGGGCGTGGGCTCGGGCGCCTTGGTCGTGGGCGCGGGCGTCGGCGCAGGTGTCGGTGCCGGCGTCGGTGTTGGTGTCATCGGCGGCGGCACGCTCGTCGTCGCGTTGCCGTCGGCGCGCGCCGTCGCAACCAGCACCGTGGCCAGTACCAGCAGCGAGCGCAGCAGCTGCATTCGTCCGCCAGGAAAGAACGTAAATACGCCGTCCGTTCATCTTGATGTCCATGCACCGCCTGTCCCAGTACGACCCAGGTGTTGACGCGTGACTCACATCGCAAGTCGAAATACAAACTGGGCGCTTACAAAACACGGTATATTTGAATAAATAAAAAAGAAACACAACCGCGTTCGACGTGGTTGCATTGGTGCTGGCTCGTTCGCCAATCGCAGCTGGCGCCGACGATGCAACGACAATCGACGTGGCGTTAAACGGCGCCCATGTACACGACGGTATCCCGGTCGCTAAAGCCGTCGCTCGAAATCGACGGGTCGCGCTCGTCGTCGGCGGCGTCCGAGCTTTTTGCGGATAAGAACGAATCGTTGTTGAGCTGCCGCGCGGTTTGCATGAGCGAGCTGTAGCTGCTGCGGTCTTCGGACCCCTGGTAGCCGCCGGTGATATCGCTGGCGTTGGAGCCGACGTCGCTTGCCATCGGGTCGGTCCCGACCGAGTCCCAGTTGTGCGAAACACGCGACTCGAGCATCGCGACCGAGTGGCCCGACTCGGCCGTCGGCCGCTCCAATGCGCGCTGCGGCGCCGGGCGCGCGACGTTGTCGTTCGGGTAGTCGTACACGTCGGGCAGCGGCGCCTTGAAGGATGACGCCAAGTACGGCGCGACGAGCGACGATGTCGGCGGCGGCGCAGGACCCGACGCATAGGTCGCGCGGCCGTACGTAGCGCGACCGTACGTCGTTGAGGCGTACCCGCGGTTGCTTTCCTTGACATCGTCGTCGTCGTCACCGTTGCCGTTGCGGCGCTGTACGAAAACGAGGAAGCCGACGAGGGCGACGAGCCCAATGACACCGACCGAGACGCCGACGGCAATGATCGTTGTGCTGGACGACGAGTCGCTGGCGCCGTCGCCCGTCGTGGTGCTATTTGTAGAGCGCGGTTCCTTCGTCGTGGGCGGGGTCGTCGAGGTTGCGTCATTCACGGGCTCGGTCGTCGCAGCCGTCGGTGTCGGTTCTGTATGGGGTGGGCTGGTAGAAACCGTTGGGCTGGCAGGCGGTGTCGACGTCGATGGCGCGGGCGCGTTTGTGCTGGGCGCCGGCGGTTGCGGTGTTGCTTGCGACGGAGATGGCGACATCGATGGCGATGGCTTTGGCGCATCCGTTTTGGGCGACGGCGCGGGCGACGGACTCGGCTCGGGCGCCTTGGTGCTCGGCGACGGGCTCGGCGTCATGCTTGGCACGGGCGACGGCACGCTGGTCGTCGGCACCGTCGTCGTCACGTTGCTCTGCGCAAGCGCCATGGCCGCCACCCACGCGAGCAGTAGCCACAGCCGCATGCGTGAAGTTGTCGGTCAAAGGTAAAGTCCCGCGCGGTATAAGAGAGGTACAGACGCCATGGTGTAAATTCTTGACAGCTGCTGCATACAAAAACCAAGTCGAGTGGCATCCGGCTCTTGTCACGACGGTGTGTCCGTCAGACGTTCGTCGCGCTGGATATCGTTTGCCAGTTGCGTTCCTAGCACACCGGGACTGCGCTCAAACCTTGAATGACCATGCTGACGACGCTATCGAGTACGTTGGCGTCGACGGGGTACCAACCATGTTCAAGAATGGCGTCATTGCAAGGCATCTGATGCGGTCGATTGGAAAGGCCCAAGGGTATCGCTTCTGCTCGGTTCGATCGATCGGCCTTCGAACACTGGAAAGACATCTCTTGACTCATTGCTAGCGCAGTGTGCTTTGAAGCATGCGTCGAGCTCGTTCGTTCGTATTCAGTCCTTGGGTGTCGGCTGCTCCATTGACATCTTGGAGCATCTCGGAGCATGCGTTCGGAGAACTGATAGCCAATGGAGGTACTTCCTCCATTTCTCCGCCTTCAACGATCGAGCATCATCGCGCAAGTTCTATCGCAAGCGCATCGTCGTGCGACGGCTTTGCGACCACACGTGTGCTGCGTTGATAGAATCAACCGTCACGTTCGAGCTCTCTGGGTGTGCCACGTCATGGCGTCGACGGTTTCACTTTGCACTTCGATAACATTCGCCAAAAGCATTCGTTTCAAATCGCGGCTGCTTGGCTGCCTTCGCTTTGTCCAGATCTATCGATGCTGGTGCATTTGTCACCAGTTGTTCCATTCGTATATTTTATCGGCGTCTAATTTAGCTTTATTCTTGTCAAGTCTTTAGGTGACGTGCACCATACAACAACGCGGAAGCCGACTGATGGATATCCCCTTGACGTCGTTGCAAACCAACCAAGCAGACACTGGCCAAATTTCCGTGCCTGTTTCTAGTCCTCGAATGGCCTCGTGCGCCAAAAAGCCACTCGACAACCATTTTCCTAAAAGTACACTACATTGGTTGCTTACATATCTTCGTCCTTCACCGAGGCGGCAAGGTTGTAGTCACCATATTCGTCAAGCGGATCGAAGCGGCGGTGGAGGGGCGTGTCCGATTCCAACGACGAGTGACAAGACACATAAATCGCACGGACGCGGTTGGGATTCTGGAGCTTGTTGATGTCCGTCGGAACAGCGCGGGACGTGACAAGAAAGTGCACGAACGACTTCATGAAACAGAGCTCGTCGAGCCACGAGACGAAGGCAGGCGACGCCACCAGTGCGTCAATCCCGTCCAGAACGACCAGCGTCGCCGGGTTGAACTCGTGCAGCCTAATCACAAATAACTAGAACATGAGGTACCACAAGGGGTGTCGTACATTCCACGGTCGACGGTTGCAGCCAGCCACGTGTCCACTTGGAGCTTGAGCGCGGCGAGGGTAGTATCGGCCGCGCAAGCGCACGCCGCAGAGCTGGGCGGCACACGAATGAACGTGATTCCGCGAGGAAACACACGGCGAAACTCGAGCGCCCGGGCGGCGCTGCACGCCAGTTGCGTCTTTCCCGCGTCCTGCGGACCATGGAGCCACACGATAGACGTCTTCTTGGCCGCAAAGAGGCCGCAAACCTACGCAAAGGTGACGCACTTGAATCATCGTTGGGTTTGAACCAGTCCTTCTTCGATTTGGCGCTCCTTGTACTCCTACGCAGTCCATCGTCGTGACAGCAGGCGACAACGAGGTCGACGCACATGGACTTCTTTCGGGAGCTCGTCGCGACGAAGGCGCGGAAACGGATCGCCATGCACAACGTCCGAGTCGTGGAAGGTCGATGGAAAAATGACCTCCGAGTGGTCGGCGCCGCGCGGCAGCAACACGAAGTTGTCGGCTTCCTAGCACAGCGCCGAGATAGTAGGTCGGGCGCACGTTGGGCACGAGACCTCGTCGGCATCCTTGATATCGGATTCGCGGACGCTTGCTTGCGCATGGGAGACGCTCGATGCGACGCTGCGCCCGCTGGCCAGACTTTGGTGGAGCGTCCTAGTCGAGAACCATTAACCACCCTATCCTGTGGTTAAAAAATACCAGGCAAAGACATTGACGGCGTCCTCGTCGATGGCCCATTTCGCACTGATGGCAACAACGTGCTTGACGCCAGCTGCAAGGAACGCGGGGGCTACATGCAAGCAAGCATGACTCGATCGAGTCGAGGTCGACGTACCCATCGTCTCCGAGTGGCACGCCAGCAGGATGACGAGTCGAGGCTTGTCGGTCTTGAAGTACTTGACGACCTCTTGAACATGGACAAGATCGCCCGCCATCTTGTTGTTTTCGAAAAGAAGGGCGCCTTCCTTGATCCCGTGCCCGGCAAAGTGGAGCACCGAGCAGCCCTCGAGCTCAACTTGCTGAAGGTTGGACCGCGTCGCCACGAGCGGGCGCACAGCGACAGCTACGGCAGACAGAACATGTCCATTTGGCAACACAGAGCGCATGTTGTACGGGCGGTCGTCGAGCGCTGGTACGATTGTTCGCCGTGCTACCATAAAGAATCATCAAACAAAATGCAGACGACCCAACACCACGGACCTCGGCGTAAGAGGCGACGGCCAAGCCTTTCACGACGGCTTCGTACTCGGCCTCGACATCCGCATGCTACAAATGTCGATCGTTGAGAGCTTTGTGTCGAGCCGCGCATATACATACACTGCATAGGACGAGGCCGCCTTTGGGCGCCATGACGAGGTACGGCGAGGCGTACATGAACGTCTAGACAAGCCCGATATGAAGAACACTCGCACGAAGTAGGTGCATACCACAAAGCGCCGCGTAGACCGTCTTGGCGCGCCTTCATGCTGCACTGTCGCCGGTGCGGGCGTCACCGGCGCTGCGGGTCGAGGCTGACGCGCTGGCGTCGAGGTTGTGCGAGATGGCGCCGCCACGGGCATGTGATGCGTCCTACGAGAATGTGCATGAGCTCCGAACGCGCATGGTCGTCGTACTTGATCTTCTTCGCCTTGGGTTCGCCAGCCTTCTCGAGGCGTGTCCGGTACGCTCGCCGCGCTTCTTGCAGCAGCGCCAAGATGCGACGAGCCTCGCCGGCACCGGACAGCTTGCTGATGACCTCGCACATCGCGGACGCGGCGACACGGTACGTGGTCTTGGAGTCCACGGATACGACCGTGACTTGGTCGTCGTTGAGCATCCACAGGTTGCGCTTGACCCGGAGCGAGTGGGCAGACGCGCCGCTGTCAAGACCGAGAGTCTCGCACATGTCGCCAACGTCGACGAGCTCGGTGGACGGCTTGATGAAGAAGGCCACCCAGTTCATGACCGTCTCCGTTGGCAGCTTGTCGTCCGTGAGCACGAAGCGTGCGAGGTCCTCGATCGTGGCCGACGGGTTAGCACTCAAGTAGCGCCCGACCTTGAGCGCCTGCGCCATGGCCACAGTCGCTGAGCTAAAGCAAAAGATGCCAGAATGTACCTCGGAGCCCTGGTCTTCAAGCCGACCCGACCTGCGAGCATCGACGCAGGAGCAGAATCGCGTGTTTCATTTATCTTAGTTTGAGTATACTTTGCGTTGAGTGTTTTTAGAGTCGTTTCAAACACTAAAGTTGCGTTAATTCAGTCAATACCAAAATCTCACATTGTTAATGCTCTCCCCATTCTCGCAGTCTACAACAACGCATCCAAGCGCTCGGCAAATGACAGAAACGCCGAGTACAATGATGGCCTTTCTACAACACACCGTTCGCCCTGCCTTGAGCTCCTGCCTTGCGATCCAGTCGCACAAGACTGTTGCTATAGCACTCTTCGATAAAACAACAACATTCTGTAATGAAAAAGTTATTAGCTCGGTCGCCAAGGCGGCCACGATGGCTTTGACGAGCGCGGTCGTGGGGTCGTCTCGGGGCGGAAGCCTTTGGATCTCGCGGGCGTCATCGACTTCGTGCTGATTGGCTTTGATGCAACCAAGGAGTTTGGTCATGGCCGCCGGGACCGCCGCCGCGACAGTTGCGTCGACGCCAGCTTGGAACTTGCTACTGTGGGTCCACACAACACCGACGGAGCTCGTCACACGGCTCTGTGTCTGCGTCGGGACATCCAACTGCACGTCATAGCGCACTTCCACCTAGAACCCATGAACCCTACCCCGCCTAGGGCTAGGGGTCGTACCGAGGATACGAGTGCGCCATGACAAACTAAGATCAATGGATTGAAAGGCGCAAAAAGGGCAGTCGTGATGTGACGATGTGAGATGGCTCTGCGGGCAGCAGCGGTGATTGGTCACATTTTGACGAATACGAGCTCGCGAGGAATCCTTTTCAACCAATTAGCGGCGAAAACAGTTGAAATTTGTTGGCTTGCCAACATTTTGGATGCAACACGTATGCAAGTTCGCCGTAAGAAGCTAGGGATACACGTCCAACCCTAAATGCGTGCTTGGCGCGGCGACGGAGTGCCATTGTGTCGTCGTCTTGGTCGCGCGGGCGCTTGGAACGGCCGGCTGAAGCGACGTTCTCGGAGCCGCCATTCGCAAACCCATTGAACGGGTTGTGTTGTTGCGGATGAGAATCGAGGGCTCTTCCATGGAGTCCTGTCGGAGTAGCTCAAACGCCTTGGGACCTGCAAGCGCGATCACAGCCTTGAAGGATGCGCACGTCTCAACCACTGCAGACCCGAGTCAATAAGTCGCACACCACCACCGGCCAACTGAGTTGGCGGCGAAGCTGGTCCATCTCTTCCTCGGCGGTCTTCAGCTGGTGCTCAAGATCGGCGACCCGTTGCATGGCGGCCTTCTTCTGGTCGGGCTGGATCTGTTCCATCACTTTTGCGGCTGCGAGCTTCACCTCGGCAATCGCGAGCTGCTTCAAGAGCTCGTGGTAAAGCTCATCAACGGCTTTGGTGACCTTGGCCGTCTGAGGCGAGTGGGTCCTGGCTACAAGACGTCAAATTGAAGAATGATGCGACCACCCGCAGTGCGCCCATGAGCTGTGCCCAGTGCGCCCAACGTTGAGGGCGTCCCTCGTTGGTGTCCCTTGGCACGGTGCAGTCCGGTACGAACATGGACTGTGTCGCGAAAACAAGGATATTACCTAAATGTATAGAAAAATAGTCCTATTTAGGACATACTTCCTAGTTTCACCTCGCATCCTGATGGCGATGCGCCATGCCATTGGTGCAAATGCGTGTCTTTTCGGCGGCCTTTTCAGCCAATTGACGAGAGGAGCTGTCCAAGATATTACCGACCGATGGCATCGCCC